ACCCGACAACACCAGCACAGGGATGAACCACCAAGATACATCAGTAGATCCTCTTCTCACTCCAGGGACCCTCCAAGATCCAACTCCCCTGCTCCATACAATGCCTTTGCTCAAAGGCAAGACAGGCACGGAAGACCTTTTGGAGAGAGAGTATCGATCAGAAACAATCATCAGGAAAGGAACCATGCTTCAAAGTACACTGAAAGAAGCTCAAATACTTACCAGCATCCCCAGCGGGAAAGAAGGTCCCCTAAACCCCCATCTTTTAGAAGAGAAAGAAACAACCTGAATGATGGCCTTTATGGAGATAAAAAGGATATGCGGTACTATCTGAACAACAGAAGGCAGGTTCCATCACCCAGGGCCCCCCTCCTCCAATGGAGAGCAAAGGAAACCATTGAAAACTCTCACAGACAGGAAGTGTCAGAATCTTCTCAGAGCAGGAGACCTCCTTTGGTAAGGAATCTTGATCATGAATTCCTCCCAACTCAAAAAGCTCCCCCTACTACAGAGGAAGTGATGGGAGAACTGAGAGATGTTACCATCAGGTACATGAATGTACCAGACCCGGTAGAAAGAGCTGCAAGAACTCAGAGAGTTTACCAGGGGAAGGCCTCTGATTTGATGGAAGAGAAGACAGCTAAAATCCTGGCATCTGCAGCTGCTGCCCACCAGAATGCATCAGTTTCACTCCTTGCCCTGGAAGGACCAGAAATCTCAACTGACCTCCCACAACTTCAGGGGCCAAACCAGATCCCACCGGAAGCACATGCAAAGAAGAGAAGGGGCAGGCCCCCATCAAAAGGGATGAATAGCCCAAAAATTCTACAGGGAGCAAACTCAAAGAAGAGAACTTTATGGCAAATTCAAAACTCCCCTAGGAGAAGGAAAAATCAAAAACAATCTATCCCTCTTGATGAGGAGAACCTTTCACATATTGATAAACAAGCCAATACAAGTAGAACCAGCCCTGGGATAGGCTCAAACATCAGATCATCCCCCCCCAGCAACCGAAGCAAGCAATCATCCCAGCCATTACTAGGA